AGGGCAGGAAAACAAGGACAGACATCAGGAAGCTCACTCCACCTCTCAGAACATCAGTTTCCTCCTCTATAAAATGGGTATAATAAATACCTGCTCTGACTAATGGATAGGGTTGTTACAGGGCTCAAAACCTTAAATGGTCCAGAAGCACTTTATGAACTATAAAATGCCAGGCACCTGCTGGTATTGTTTACTGTGATCTCTGGGCTGTTGGCAGCAGGGAAGGGATTTGGGGAGATTCTAGGCCAGCATCTGAGGCTGGACAGTCTCCTGGTATATTGTGAAAGGATTACAATCTGATCCACCAGGGGTGGACAGATAGCCTCCACCAGGGACAGACAGGTGCTGCCAGAGACAGACAGCAGCCACTAACCTCATCCCTCCTGATTTAAGAATGCCCCTAATCCTAGCTAATCAGGAGGCAGAAATCAGGAGGATCGTGGTTTGAACCAGCCCCAGCAAATAGTTCATGAGACCCTATCTTGAAAAAACATATCACAAAAAAGGGCTGGTGGAGTGACCCAAGTGGTAGAGTGCCTGTCTAGCAAGCACAAGGCCCTGAGTTCAAACCCCAATGCTGCCAAAAAAAAAAGGGAGAGAGAGAATTTCCAAGTATTTCTGCACCAGGCTGTGACTTTGCCTAGAGAAACATTGAGGGCAGCTGTGACCCACACACAGATGCAGTCCCTCTGGGGAGGGAGACAGTGTCCACAGGAACTGCCAGACCCAAAGCACTGTCTCCCTGCCGCAGGCCTGGGGGCTCCCTTCAGGCCTCAGGGACCTGACTAAGGGAGGTGGAAAAACTGTTTTCTGTGCTTTGAAACTTTTAGACATTTCACTTCTGTAAGGGTTTTGCCAGTGTCTCTGTATGTAATATAGGTTGCAATAAATGATAAGGTAGGTAGCATAATAACCAGGCTGGGCTGGCGTCACCAGGCTGGAGGGTGAAGGAGGCACCCACAGTAGGAGGACTCGGAACCTGGAACCTGGATGGGGGCCCCGGTGCAGGCCTTCAGAACATTTGGGAGCCAGGCACCGGTGGCTCATGCCTGTAATCCTAGCTACTCAGGAGGCTGAGATCAGGAGGATCTTGGTGTGGAGCCAGTTCTAAGCAGATAGTTGGAGAGACCCTATCTCAAAAATACCCAGCACAAAAAAGGACTGGTGGGGTGGCTCAAGCGGTAGCACCTGCCTAGCAAGTGCGAGGCCCTGAATTTAAACCCCAGTACCACCAAAAAAAATAAATAATAAAGTTTGGGAGCAGAGTGTAGGGATGGTTTGCTGAAGGAGGAGATGTCTCTGGGGGCAGGTCACAGGGCTCTTTCCTTGGGACCAAGCCTGGGGGTTTAGGTGGCTGCAGACACAGCAGGCATTATGATCAGGACTGAGGCTGCAGTGGGGCCACCTGTGAGTGGGACTGGGCTGCCAGGACAGAGCTGAGGCACCAGGCGGTGGGGGAGGGCTTGAGCCTTTGGAGTGTGTAAGGCATCAGGGACCTGAGCTGCTGCCAGACCTCAGGGGGCGCCTGGCTCTCTCAGACCTTCCAGTCTCTTTGCAGAGGAAGTAAAGAAACTGGAGTCCTTGCCATATTCTGTCGAAGGCTGGTGCCACCTACTAGTTTATAAACCATTCAGAAGGAAAAAGGGGCAGACAGTTAAACTGTAATTGCAAGCCGCATCCCACTTGCAGAGATGCTAAGATATAAGAACTGTGTGTCTAAGAACCATATGACGTGTTGCAGGCCCCACCTAGATTCTTAATCTGCCTTCACACGTTTAACCCTCACAGCAGCTCCAGAGCTACGTATTTGTGTCTAGGTTCAGATGAGGAAACGGGCCCAGAGAGGTTTAGTAACTTTCACAGGGTCACACAGCCAGTCAGGTACAATTGGGATTTGCACCTCTTCTTCCTCATCCAGTCCCACAAAGATAAGGCCCCTGAGTCTTGGCCCTTGGTAGGCAGGCCCCCTACCACTTAGCCATGCCAGCGTCTGAGTGCTGGCCCTTGGGAAGAAGAGAGTGTCCATGCTGCAGAGCAGGTGGGGGCCAGCTCAGCAGGCTCCACTGGACTGGTCATTAGCCACCCTGGGTTATGCGCTGTGGAAGGGGCCAGGAGCAGGGCTGGGGAGATAAAGCCAGGACCAGGACCAGGAGTGGCTTGGTCTGTGGCTGGCCCTGGAGAAAGGCCACAGATCCACCTGGTGTACAGTCATGTAGTTGGCTCCCAGAGGCTCACCTGGAATCTTGCCCATTCATCCATTCCCTAAAACTCTCTTTTTCTATTTAATTTTTTTGAGCAGGACTTTTATTCATGTATTGATCTGTTCTTGCATATGAAACCTGAACCTAGTGTTAGAGACACAGGCCAGAGCAAAACCTGGAGCACATCCCTGAAGGAGAAGAGAGAGAGTGAGGAGTGTGCGAAGAATGTGTGCCTTCCCCAGGGCCAGGGGACAGAGGCTTCCCTAAGGGAAGACCTTTAGAGCTGAGCTCTTGAACATGAGCGAGGGCAGAATGTGGGCCATGGTGGGCAGAATGCGGGCCATGGTGGACAGATGAAACCGCCTATGCAAAGGCCCTGAGGCAGGAGGAAACCGGCCTTGGAAAAATTAAAAGTGCCATATGTCTGCAGCTCAGATCCCTGGGCAAGGTGCAGCCAGAGAGGCAGAAAGATGGGTAGGCAGTGGTGCGCTCAAGATTTGCATACTTCGTCATTGTTGTTTGGAGACAGGGTCTTGCTATGTAGCCTAGGCTGGACTCAAATTCATGAGTATACCAGCCAGGACTGTATACTATTCCCTGACGTTAACCAACCCAAACCACAGGCCCAGCAATTACTGGCATGCCCAGCAAGATTTGCATATTTTGAAAAGACCAAGGGCAAGCTGGTTTGTGCCTGAGATGGACCAGGTTAAGGGGGTGGTCATAGCAGTGGGAGTGCAGGGAGATGTTTGGGATAGGGATGGGAGGGTGGCACTCACAGTGGATTGTCCCAGGGTACAAGGAGGAGAAGCCTATGTGTCAGCCCCTGGGTTCTGTCTGGCAAGTAGTGCCCTTCCCAGGCCTGGCTGGTGGAAGACCAGTCCTCGTTCCACCGGCCAGAGCTGGCCTTGGTCCACCTATCCCTAGCAGCACTTAGCTGTCCTGCTTCCTGCGGGTGGTGGGAAAAGCAGAGGGCAAAGGATTTGAGAATGGTGCTAAGGGTAAGCTGATGTCCCAGGAAATGGGCATCACAGAATGTGGCTGTCACGTGGCCCTGAGCTGGCCTTCACACACAGGGAACCCAGCACATGGTGGGGTCAGGCCTTTGCTTAATGAATTACGTCATCCTGGGTTCCAGGACCCTGTGCTTGCGGATGTGCCAGGGATGTGGGCAAAGGGCTGGTCCCGTCTGGCAGGTGACAGGACACTAGAAGTGGGACAGTGTGGTCAGGTCAGCCGGAGGGTTCTTGGGTTACTGACTTTGGAAGCAGATGTGGAGCATTTGTACATGAAGACAAAGTTTAAGCCAGGTGTGGTGGGGTACAACTATAATCACAGCTACTAAGAAGGTAAAGACAGGAGAATCATGAAATCAGGGCCAGCCTGGGCAAAATTAGTGAGATCCTTTCTCAAAATCAAACAAACCAAAAAGGCCAGATTTGGTGGCTCATATCTGTAATACCAGCTAGGCAGGAGGTGGAGGTAGGAGGATCACTGTCCAGAGGCCAAGCCAGCCTGAGCAAAAAGCATGAGACTGTATCTAAAAAACAAACAAAAGCAAAAAGCAAAAAAAGCTGGAGGTGTGGCTCAAAATGGTAGAGAGCTTGCCTAGCAAGCCAAGGCCCTGAATTCACACCCCACTATTGAGGGGTGTGGAGGAGGAGGGGAGGCACAAAGTTCCAGGGTGTAGCCAAGAGAGGGATGGTCAAGGTCAGTGAAAAGTGGGCCATATGGAGATGAGATTGCCCTTTACAGAGGATAAATGGGGGCTCAGAGAGGCTGTGGAACTTGTCTGAGGTCACACAGATGGAAAGTGGCTCTCCTTGCATGGTTCTTTGTGCTGTGGGTTCCTTTCTGAAATTTTCCTTCAGAGATGTTATGCTACTGAGTCCACAGTTCAGGAGTCGGAGAGCCCATGATCAGGGAGGGATGGCCTGTGTTGGAAGGGGGAGTGATGCCCCAGGCCGAGCCTCCCAGTGGCTGGTCACAGAGTCCTGGGAAGGACATGACTGCAGCGGGCATGACACACATAAAAGACAAGTGCAGAGACATAAGGGCCTGTGGTTGGATTGGTTAATGTTGGGGAATCGTATATGGTGCTGGCCAGATACCAAGGGCAAGGAGGGAGGAGCATTTGACTTATTTACGTACTTATCTTTGGTGCTGGGGATTAAACCCAGGGCCTCTGGCATGTCCAGCACACCTGCCCATGAGCTCCAACCCCAGCCTAAGGAAAGACTTCTCACGGACATTGTTTAGAACTGCAGGCACAGTCTAATTACACAAAGTCAGACTCTAGCTGGTTTTCTTGCTGATTGCAAGTTGTCTATAGAAAATGCATCCCCTTCTGTGTGTTCCCAGGCAGAGTGCTCACCCCCTACTGCCCTGGGCCCTCCACTTCCCCTTCGTCCCTTACCCACCTCCTTCTTAGCTTGCACCTTGCTTCAAATATCTGAGTAAGCAGCCTTGCAAGGTTTGAAAGGCCACCCCTCTGGCCCTCCATGGGGCTCAGCCCAGGAGAGATGGCAGGAGTTAGGGCTGCCCCAAGGATGCCAGAAGCACCTGGAGACAGGAGTGAATTTCAGGTCCAGGCCCCTGCACCCTGGGGACCCTGGGCTGCAGGGCATACAGTTGGCAAACAGAGGCTGAATTCTCAGGTCCCAGAGCACTGTCCCCCCGCCTCCCACAGCAGGGCTGCCCAAAGAGTGAGGAAGGTTTACTCAGTCCACCTATTTCGTGGGACCTGGAGGGCACTGGGACAGCAGGCCCAGAGCCAGATCTGATTGTCTTGTTTCACAGGTGAGGAAACGAAGGCTTCACAGAAGCAGAATGAGAGGAGAAGTGCGTGCCCACAGGCCAGTAAGAAGGCGGTGAGGGGCAGTTGGTGGCCAGGACCCAGGGTGGGGGGTGGCCAGGCTAGGCATCCAGGACCCAAGGCTTATGTTGTCCCTGGAGTCTGCCTCTGAGCAGCCAGTGATCTCGGCAAGCAGTGCCCCTCTCAGAGCCTGGCTGCTACTTCTGCAAGGTGGCAGACTTGGTGGTCTTCCTCCCCTGCAGCTTGAGGTCCTCTCTGTCTCTGCAGTGTCTACTCCGGGGGTCTCCAGGGTGAGGCGTGAGATGCTCACTGGGCTCGGGCAAAATGTGACCTACTCCAAGAAGAGAGGATTCGGCATCGCCCACGTCTGGCAGGTGTGGACACACCGACTCCTCCCAGCGAGGCTTCAAGCAGTCCTGTCTCCTGTGGTCCAGGAGTCACTGGGGAGGAGGGGACATACTGATAAAAGGGGTGCTTTTGGTCTGCTTTTGGCAGGTCATCCCAGTTAATTAACCTGGCTAACTAACTGGGTGAATGCAGACTAATTAGTGTAGGTTGGATTCACAGATTAGGCCTCATGAAATGGTCAAGTGGCTGGTACTGGGGGTTGAACTCAGCCATGGCCTCATGCTTGCTAGGCAGCACCCTACCACTTGAGCTATACCCCCCAACTCTTTTGTTTGCATTTTGTTTTTGAGATGGGGCGCTTGATAACTTGCCTGGCTGGCCTTGAACTGCCTCTACGTCCTGAGTAGCTGGGATTACAGGAGTGAACCACCACACCTGGCTTGGACAAGTGGTTTCTATTTTATTTTTGTGATACTGGGGTTTGAACTGAAGGCCTTGTCGGGCAGGTGCTCTACCACTTGAGCCATACTCTCAGCACCCAAAAACAAGGATGTGGGAAAATTGACACTAGGTTTCCAGTGTGATCCCTTCCTCAGCTACCAGCCTAGGAGAAAACAGGGACAGGCTAATCAAGTCTGACAAGAAATCAGCCCAAGGTTTTCTTTTTTAATTTGGGGGGCACTCTTTGACATCCACATTGACAGCCAGGTTGATAACTGAGTCTCACCCATGGTGTGTTTGAGGCTACTGATGATGGGCACTTGTATATAATATAAAATTAGGGGAGCCGAGCTCAATTGTGTTTCCCTTTGGAGAAGTGAATGGTTGGTCAGGGGTGGGCATGGTGGTCCATACCTGTCATCTCAGCTACTGAGGAAGTGAACAGAGGAGGATCTTGGTTGAGACCAGCCTGGGCAAAAGTGTGAGACTATATCTGAAAAGTAAACTAAAAAGCAAAAGGACTGATGTGTAGCTCAAGTGGGAGGCCCTGAGTTCAATCCCCAGTACCGCCAAAAAAAATTGGAGCCCTAACCTCCTGGTATCCTCCATGTTGCTGTCACCATCACGACTGTGATTGAGTTTTGTCTAGGGCGGAGACCAGCTGCCACTGGAGGGAGAGTCCATGCAGGGACTGTCTTTAGCTGGGGTCTTGGAGAAGGGGATGGACTCCACCTTACCTTGCACAGCTAGGTGGTCACTGATACAGGAAGAGACCTCAGGTGTCTCTTCTCTGGAGGGCCCCATCTTTCCAGCCCAAACCACTTTTGGGAGAGGCTGCTCCCTTTCAAAGATGGGGGCCCAGGAGTGTGACTGAGCACTGACCTCACCATTGTAAGACCTTTCTTCCCTTCCCAGCCACCCTTGGAATTTGTCCCTCCACACGCAAGTTTCCACCATTGCTTCCAGCAACACAGATAAGGAACAAAACATTTGGTACTGTATCCAGGCATAGCATGAAAGGAAACTTTGTTCTGTCTCAGAGGACTCCTGGGCCTGGGATCCTGTTCTTGGTTCTGCCCTGCATAGACGGCCCTAGACATGCCGACTCGGTTTCCCCTTCCGCACCCACCATCTCTCAGGTGTGACCAGTGCTGCTCTTCCAAGTCGTGGAGTGTGGGGTCCCTTTGGGAGTCTGAATGATTTTCTGCCAGAATCCAGAGGATTCTGAATTTCACCATGGATGAGCAAAAGTGGGAGGAGATGGGAAACTGAGTCACGCAAGAAACTCCTCAGCCTCGAGCAGGGCCTGCAGTCAGAGTCCTCAGATCTCAGCTAAGCTATTAATGGGGCAGAAGCGACAGATGTGAATGGTGGGCCTCCAGGGACAGAGACAGGACAGTGGGGGAAGTTGCAGAAGGGAGGAAGTCCGGTGTTTAAGGGCGCTTTCCTGTGCCTGGCATGGTACAGGCCCCAACTCTCAGACCTGTGGATGGGAGTGTGTCAAGTCACCTCCTATTGCCATCCCACTTTACAGACGAACGAACCAAGGCTCCTGACCATGTCCCTAATCTTTGCAGGCTGCCGTCACAGCCCCTCTGGTATCACCACATGTTATAAAGGACCCAGGCCCCTTTTCCTCCATTCTCCCGCAGCCTGACAGGCAGGCAGGGGCACTGGAGCCAGTCCCTTCCTTCGCCATGCCGAGGGGAAGGCAGTGGGAAAAACCACCCCTCTGGCTGGGCTTGGGGGAGGCTGCTCACCCACCCCCCAGGATCCCTGCCCTCTGGCAGAGAAGCCCTGAGTAGCCAGGACTGCAAAGGGGAACAGCCACGGGGGCCACCTGGCCCAGCCCCTGGCACTGAGGGCTCACGGGAATCAGCTAGGCCAGAGTCAGGCAGGCCTGGTGGGTGGGAGATGCTCAGGGTAGCAGGTGGAAGGAGGGGGTCTAGCCTCCAACAAGGAGTAAGGGAAGGCCATGTGATGTCTGGGGGTGCTGCCTAGTTTCTTCTCTTTATTTAAAAAATTTTTTTGCCGGGCGCGGTGGCGCGCGCCTGTAGTCCTAGCTACTCGGGAGGCTGAGGCAGGAGGATCGCTTGAGTCCAGGAGTTCTGGGCTGCAGTGCGCTATGCCGATCAGGTGTCCGCACTAAGTTCAGCATCAATATGGTGACCTCCCGGGAGCGGGGGACCACCAGGTTGCCTAAGGAGGGGTGAACCGGCCCAGGTCGGAAAAATTTTTATTAGCATGCATTAATAATACAAGGGGGTTTCATTGGGATAATTCCATAGATATGCATAGTGTACTTTGACCAAGTTCACCCCCTCTAAAATATTCCCTTAGCTCTGCCCCCTCCCTCTTTTCAGACAGTGGTGGTTTTCATTATGCTACCTATTCATTATGCCTATATACATTCACCTTGATCCTACTCATCCCCTCCTTTCCCCCGCCTCCTGCTGATCAATCCCCCTTTAGCATTACGTCCCGTTTTTATCATCATCATTATTTTAGGTCTACATTCCAACACAAGTAAAAACGTAGTATTTGGCTTTTTTAACTTGGCTTATCTTGCTTCACGTGATGATCTCCAGTTCCATCCATTTTCCTGCAGATGACATAATTTCATTCTTTATGGCTGAATAATACTCCATCACGTAGATATCCCACATTTTCTTTATCCATTCATTAGTTGTTGGGCCCCTAGGCTGATTCCACAGCTTGGCTATTGTGAATAGTGCTACAATAAGCATGGGTGTGCAGGTGTGTCTCTTGTAGGTTGATTTACACTCCTTTGGATATGTGCCCAAGAGTGGTAATGCAGGGGCATAAGGCAGGTCTGTTTTAGTTTTAGTTTTGGTTTTCTGAGGAACCTCCATACTGTTTTCCAGAGTGGTTGCACTGGCTCACATAATCCCACCAGCAGTAGACGAGGGTTCCTTTTTCTCTCACCTTACCTGCATTTGTGTTTGTGTTAGCCATTCTGACTGGGGTGGGATGGAATGTCGATGCTGTTTTGATTTGCACTTCCTTTATGGCCAAGGATTTTCGTTAGCCATTTGTACTTCTGAGCACTGTCTTTTCAAGTCATTTGATCATCATTAATTGGATTATTTGTACTTTGGTTGTTTGATTTTTTTGAGCTCTTTGTGTATTCTGGAGATTAACCCTTTATCTGTTGAATAGCTGGAAAAGATTTTCTCCCATTCCTTGGGTTGTCTTGATTCTGGTTAGTGTTTTCTTTGATGTGCAGAAGCTTTTTAATTTGGTGCAATCCCATTTATGGGATTCTCACTCTTGTTTCCTGGGCAATTGGAGTCTTATTCAGAAAATCCTGTGCCCTTATTTTTTCAATTGTGGTGAAATCTACATAGCATCCTAGCCATGTCTGAGCATGAAATTCAAGTACTTTGTCATGTGTCTATCCCCACATGATTTGGAAATCTTGAATTCACAGCAGCCTACTGTGTGTTTTACTGGCTTTGCTTACATGTGCTAACACTGAGTGTGTGCTCAGTGTTAAAATTCCATACTTGAGCTGGGTGCCAGTGGCTCACGCCTGTGATCCTAGCTACTCAAGAGGCAGAGATCAGGAGGACCTCAGTTCAAAGCCTGGCTGGGCAAATAGTTCTTGAGACCCTTCTCAAAAAATACCATTACAAAGAAGGGCTGGAGGAGTGGCTCAAGGAGTAGGCCCTGAGTTCAAACCCCAATATCACATACACAAAAATATTCCATATTTGAGCATGGCTCAAGTGGTAGAGGCCCTGAGTTCAAGCCCCAGTATCTCCAAAAAGAAAAAAAGTAGAAGAAAAAAGGACTAGACACAGGAGTCTTAACACAGAGCTCTCCCCAGCCAGGCATGAGTAAACTCATTTGATCTTTACAACTCCCCGGTAAGGCAGGTTCTGTTACTGACCCTGTTTACAGATGAGGCAACTGAGGCACAGAGAAGTTTAGTAAATACCCTCAAGGCCAGACATAGTGGTCCACACCTGTAATCCCCAGCTGTATGGGAGGCAAAGGTGGGAGGATTGTGGTCTGAGGCAGGCCCTCCTCAGGACTCCGTTTAAAAAAAACAAGTAAAGCGAGAGGGACTAGAGTCGTGGCTCAAGTGGTAAAGCACCTTCCTAGCACGTGTGAGGTTCTGAGTTCAAACCCTGTATAGCCACAACCAAATTTCAAAAGATCCTCAGATCTTTCACTGGTCCTAGGCTGGGCCCACTGCTTGTGACTGTTTATTGAGAAGTTACCATCCAGAGCTCTCTGACTCTGCACTGGATGCCTGCTGTTGAGATGGGAAAACTGTTGTGGGACAGAAGTAATAGCCAGTGAGTTCCGTCCACGCCCACCTCCAGTTGGCCAGCTGGAAGGATGCAGAGCCCATGAGGAGACAGAGGACTGGACCTCGAGTTTTGCAAGCTAGCAGACAGTGTATGTGTCAGAAGCCCAGAGCCACAGCCCTGAGGTTCCCGAGTCAGGAAGAGCATGTGGCATCTGCAGGGAGGGGGCTGGCTGCTGGTGACAGGTTGCGACCTCCAAGACACAACTCCAGAGTCCTAAGCTGAGCACCACAGGCTGCATCCACACA